ATTGATCCCTACCTGCGCAGCCTGATGGCCCGCCCGGCCAAGCTGATGACGCAGCAGCAGATGGTGGTGGGCGAGCTCCGGGACGGGCTCTTTGAGCAGGTTGAAAGGATTGGCTTTGATTTGGCTGCACTCAACATGCAGCGCAGCCGAGATCACGGCCTGCCAGGTAAGGCAGCTATGGGAGCAGAGCTTTCAAAGAAAAACAAGTKGAAATCAGGCATTTTTGTGATTAAACGTTGAGAACTTCTCCAGCCCCTGCTTGGCTGAAATTTCTCAGAGGTTGGCCTCAGTGATCCTTATGCATCTCTCCCAGTGCAGGATATTCAATTATTCTATGATGCCCTTTCCCAAACCTTTTCCTTGTTTCTGAACARCCACAGGTAAGTGTGTGGATGTTGAGCACTGAAGGCAAAGCCTGGCTGTAGCTGCAGGAGACACATGGAGGTAGAAGAACACAGGACATTGCACAGACCAGAGTCTGGTGTTCAGTGACTGACTCATTTCTATTGTCCAAGTGTAAGAACTGGTAAAATAGTTCAGCAACAAGTTTGCAGGAGTGGAATTAGGGCTGGAAGTCCCCCATGACTTCTCTCCAACCATCTGAAGTGATCCAGCCACACGCAACTGGAAGAGCAGATTCCAATATGTAARATCTCATCATAATTTCTCTATTAARTCTGCGTCCCAGAAAAACACAACCAAGCACGTCACAGCCACTCTCAGGGCTCTGCAAGGTGCAATGGCATTGCAAGATGTTCTTGAGAAATAGATTGTTGATGGGACTTCAGAGCTGGCTCCTGGGTGAGTCCTTGCCCAACATTAGGCTGATGTAAGTGCCCAGAGCTGCYGTGGCAGCAACACCCAGGAGATGCAACAGGGCTCCTGTTTGAAACTGGGATGAAAATTGAGCTGAATCCACAGGTTTTTAGCCCGGTCAGAGGCTTTGCAGTACATCCAGATGCATGATCAGCTCACAGGATTGCTCTGCCTTGGCCACAACAGAAGGCTGTGATTTTTGCACGCTTTATCTAGAAACACCATTGTGCAGAACCTGATTGGAACCACAAACCCTGAGTTTCCAGACCTGACACGGTGTGACTGATATGTATTTSTAGTGGATTTGGGTTCAGCTTTGGATATCAGCCCACCCCTGAGTGCTGCTGTACACCTTGATAGTAGACATCCATGAAGGTGCTGATGGCATAGCAAGRTCAAAACTGCTCCCTAATTAATTTTCTGATTAAGCAAATTCTCAGTGTCCTGGAATTGTTTGATAGTGGTGTCACCTGGGCACCATTCGCTGTGCTGTTTGCTCCCAGTTCTCCCTGGTTTTTRGACATGAGAAAGCAGGTTTGGATAYGGTATCAGGAAGAAATTCTGCCSTGTRAGGGTGGTGGGGCCCTGGYACAKGTTGCCCAGAGAAGCTRTGGCTGCCCCATTCCTGAAARTGCCCAAGGCCAGGCTGGACAGGGCTTGGAGTAACCTGGAATAGTGAAAGGTGTCCCTGCCCATGGCAGGAGGTGGAATGAGATGAGCTTTAATATCCCTTCCAACCCAAAGAATTCCATGATTCCACRACATCCTGCTCACAGCAGAGGTGTTTGCCACTGCATCATCTCATMTYWYMTCWYMTCWYATCTCATCTCMTCTCATCTCATYGCATCTACRCCAAGGTGCAGAATTATGCACCATTGTGGCCCAGTGGACTTTTGGCTGTTGCAGTCCAGAAAAATTAGCCCCACTGGCAAAGTCTGGTGGCTGAAGTAACTTGGGCTATTTGGAGTGGTGTCTTGTCCCCTTGCCTTGACAGGGACCAGCTGTGGGGAAGCACTTGGTCACTCCTCTGTGCTACAGAGAGGGGCCATCAGCATCTTGTCCAGGTTCACTTTCAGTGAAGGCAGCGTCAGCTGCATCCCTGCTGAGTGGAGCAGAACGTTCTGGAAGGTGGTGGAACAATTCCCACCTGCAGAGACATGCCCCCCCCCCCAAAAACAACATTGAAAGGCCACGCAGAAGGAACAGGCTCAGGAGGAGYGGGAAGTCAATGGCATTAACAGAAATACACAAAAATATTTTGAACATTTTGGACCCTTCTGGTGTCTTTCCAGGAGGAGGCGGCACATTACTGCTCTGTCTGCTCTGATACCCAACTACTTGCAGGTTACAACTCCTGGAGAAAATTCTGTGGGCTCTCACAGCCCTCTGGAGTGAAGTCTCTTGGTCGAGTGTTGAGGAATCAGAACCTGGCAAGGAAGTTTCTGYGGCTCTACGGGACACCAAAAAACATTGACATCTGGATAGGGGCCCTTGCAGAGCCCTTTGTGAACAGAGGCCGAGTGGGGCCTCTCATGGCTTGTCTGATTGGCACCCAGTTCAGGAACATCCGTGATGGGGACAGGTAAGAGGGGAGCTGGTATCCCAGCCCCAAAGTCCAGGGGGGCTGGAGTTCATGGCAGATTTCTTCACACAGATCTGCAAACTGCTTCAGTTGTTTGTTGCTTTTTTTTTTCCAGTACTCCTCCAAAAGTGTCATTCTGTCTGTAATGATGTTCTTAGTCCCTGTCTGATGGTTGAGATCCTGGGCTAAGATCCCTTCCCAGCCAAGTGATGTCCCACTGTTTCTTCTTCCCACCCCAGTTCTGAACTGGAACCTCTGCTCTGACACATGGCAGGGTTTGGTCTTTGCTTGTGGTGGATGTGGTGCTTTGGGGTTTTCTTGTCTGCCAAAATCACCTCAGTAGTGCTGAGGTTTCAACACACCTGAATTYCTCCTCCTTTTCCTTGAGGCTGCTCAGGGGCTTCAGGTGCAGCAGGGAGTTGCATTCCCCATTTTAAGCTGAATTTCTGAAGCAAGGTCCCTGTACCAGCCAGCAATATTGTCTGAAAATGGGATCACAACCCGTGTTTCTGGGAAACAGTTCTGCTGAGAAAAACAGGATGAACTCAAACCTCAGGATGGGGAACTTAGAGGCAAAGGGTCTGATGCATGTCTAGAAATCCTGCTTTTATGGCAGGAAATGAACCCTTTTCTAAAAAATTGAGTAATTATAGGGCTGGTTCCAACATGGCAATCATGTGGCTGTAACCACAGCCTGTGCACAGTCTGTGCAGCCTTTCCTATTTGAAGAGGGTGCCTGTGCCTCATCTGAGGGCAATTAATTCAATTGCAGCTTTGTTACATATCCGTGGCGAAAAGAAAAGCAAGATAATTATCCAACTGGTGAGTCAGGGTTCTTGATTTAAATAACAGAAATTCTAATTTGTTCTTGGCAAAAGAAATTGGTGTTAATGGGAAGTAATATTGTGGGAGTCATGAATGTGAAGGCGGCAGAAGGCAAAAATCTGTTGTGTCTCCTTCTTTCTCCTGCAGGTTTTGGTGGCAGAACCCTGGGGTGTTCACTCCTCGCCAGCGCTGTTCMCTGGCCAAAATCTCCTTGTCACGAATAATCTGTGACAACACCCACATCACTAAAGTATCAAGGAACATCTTCCGGGCTAACAGATACCCCCATGGCTTTGTGAGCTGCAGTCGGATCCCTAAGCTGGACCTCAGAGCCTGGAAGGCGACGAGCAYSGAGGAGCAAGGTATGAACTGCAAASAGCAGCAGGTCCTGCCTKGGAGCCCTGAGAGAGCCAGACCCTGTGGTTTAACACTGACCTGCCTGACAGGGGCTGTGTGCCAGCTACAGCTTCAGGCTCTCCTGCTCATCAGGTGCACACGGGGCAGCTCCTGCAAAATGCAGATTTTCTGGCAGACCTAGCCCAGTGCTCTATTCTGGGAATTTTTCTTATGAGGAAAGGCTGAGGAAGCTGGGACTGATCAACCCGGAGAGGACTCCTAGCCCAGAGGGGCCTCAGCTCTGGGTGTCTCTGGGTGTCCCTGGGTGCAGGGAGGGTCAGAGCAGGGCCGGGCTCTGCTCCCTGGGCCCAGCGGTGGCACCAGAGGGACGGGCAGGGACTGAGCCCAGGGAGCTCCCTGGACAGGGGCAGAACTTCTGTCCTGGGCAGTGCCCAGCCCTGGCCAGGCTGCCCAGGGAGGGGCTGGAGTCTCCCTGAGCGGGGACATTGCAGAGCCCTCTGGACACAGCCCTGTGCCCTGTGCTCTGGGATGGCCCTGCCTGAGCAGGGAGGGGGCACCAGGGACCTTCTGGGGGTCCCTTCCAGCCTGACCCACTGTGGGATTCTGGGATTTTTTTCAGATTAACCGACTTTCCATTCAGTTCTTCACTGTTGATGCCAGGGCTTTCCTGCATGGGAAACAACATCCAGATGGAGAAGGCTGCTCTGTCTGTCTGTCTGTCTGTCTGTCTGTCTGTCTGTAGAGGTGCTGTTTGTCAGCACATCCTTGTCAGGCCAAAAGCAACTCAGCATTTGAAAAGGAGTTCCCACTCCATGAAGGGATTTCTGGTTTTGATCTCTGCCTGTATAGTTGTTGCCTAAATTTACACTACTTCTCTCAGCTGCCTTCAGGATTTGTAGAATTCTTGAGGTCTAATTCCTTCCAAAATGCTCTYTGAAATCCCTGGGAAGTAGATGTAGGGAAGAGTGGCTCTCTTCGGGGAAGGGCAGGCTGCTCCAGTGCCTTTTCCTAGGAAAATATCCTTCCTTTCCTCTGACAGTCAGGTCCTGCCACACTCTCATAATACCAGTTTTTGATCCCTCTTTTCCAGCTTAACCAGTGTAAATAAACCACACAAGGTATCAGGCAGCAATGGTGGGTTCTTTTCTGTTAACACAATGGTTTTTATCTCCTCTAGAAAAAGATTCTGACCACTTTAAATGCTGAACATTGAGGATTCCCCAGAATTCTGGACTTGGAAAGCTGCTGAGGTGGATTATTAATTTTTACTCTGTTTATGCTTTTACTGCCTGCAATGTTTGCACACAGTTCTGTCATTTGCTCAGCTTGATTTGTGTGAAGCTTTTCCAGAGGGATGGAGCCCAGGAATAAAATAACTTYGTGAAGTGATGTCCAAGATCTGTGAAATCACTCAGTATCCCAAAGCCAAGTGAAATAAGTTATCCAGAGGCTGATCCCAAATCACACCAGCTGCTGTCTTAGGCCATAGAACTACACAAYGCTTCACAAAGATTTACTGTCAAACAAATATTTTGGACCTTCTTTTCAAAATTTTCAACCCCCAGAGAACAACCAAGGGCATTGGAATCACAGCAGATTGCTGTTCAAATTTTTTTGTTTGAAAGAAATAATTTGATTTCCAAAGAAAATGCACTAATGGCTGGATGCCTCTGAGGAAGCAGAAATAGTTGTCCTGCACCCTAAACCCATTTCAGTTGTCCTGAAATGCCCTGTGTCAGGTTTTTCTCCAATATGGAAAGAACACATTTGCCTCATGGAAGAGAGTCRTCTCACCATTATTTCTCATCATATTCCAGAATGCCCAAAGCATCTTCTGATGTAACAGAAACCTGTGACAAGTTATTCCTGAAGCCTGGCATGAGCCAGAGTGGTTCACTCCTGGTCTGTGGASCTGGTGGGATGTGGCCTGGCAAAGATAAGAACAATCTGAAAGTATAAGAAAGTGAAAACTATTCTYGTTTCAATCCAGCTTTTTCCCTTTTCCTGCGAGGGATCAAACCCACTTTCTCCCTGCTCTGTAGCCTGCTATATTCCTGTTATTGCTCAATAAATTGCAATTTTGGGCTGAGGCCAAAATGTTCTTTGCACTTTGTAAAAGATGCAGCAACCACAGGTGGGTGGAGATGGTGGTAGGTTTTCTGTGGGAATATTGGGAATTCCAGAAGCTGTGTGTTGTTAATGAAAGAAGGTATTTCTTGCTGAGGTCTCTTGGCCTTTTCCCACCACATTGGATCATTGCCTGCCCTCTCTCTTCTGGACAATGTGTGGCTGAGCAGAGCTGGGCAGAGGGAGAGTCATTGAAGCTGTGTGACCAAAGCTGACGGTGTGAGCAGATCCCTCCTCTCACTATCTCAGATTCACTGAAAGCGAGCCAGGTTTAAGGGGTGCGAGCACCCAGGGGCAAAAGGGAGTCAACTGGGCATGGGTGCACTTAGTCTGGAGACTGGGATCTTCATCAGAGCTGCAGCTTCTGAAAACACCATGCAGGTTAGGCAAGAGCCRACTGCTTTTGAAATGGGAGTGGGATGGATCCAGGTGCTGGAGATTCTTGTGACAGGAGAAAATTATAGCTGAAGATTTTGGTATCTGTGRGTTTGGAGCCTGAATGTTGTGTTAGATCTGATCTGACTGTCTGCCATGGTGAATTGGGAATGTCCTTGGCTTTTTCYATCCTCATCAGAGACACCATCTGTGGTAATCAAAGACCTCCTCACTCTGCACAACTCCCTGACAGGAGGGGGCAGCTGGGGGGGATCGGGCTCTGCTCCCAGGGAACAGGGACAGGAGGAGAGGGAACGGCCTCAGGCTGGGCCAGGGGAAGGTCAGGTTGGGCATCAGCAGGAATTTCTCCATGGAAAGGATTGTTAAGCACTGGCAGGGGCTGCCCAGGGAGRTGGTGGAGTCCCTACCCCTGGAGGTGTCCAGGGGAGGGCTGGGTGTGGCACTCAGGGCTTTGGGCTGGTGACAAGGTTAGGATTGGTCACAGGTTGGACTCAATGACCCTGGAGATCTTTTCCATCCTAAATATTTTTGTGAAGTCTTTGAAAATTGCTGATTGTTACTTAAAATAAACCTTTTCAGTGGTCTGTGAACAGTTGTGAGCTTGCAGAGTTCCCTGTACCTGAGAGCCTGGGTGAGTTTCTATGTGCAGAGCCTTCTCAGAGGTTTCTCCTGCAGCAGGAGACTGACACCAGCACCCTGATTTGGAAGCCACGACCATCTTTGCAGCACAGCCATTCCACTCCTTTTGCTGACATTACATCTTAGGAACCTCTCTCTGGTAGGTCRGGATGAACAAGTTGTGCATCGAACCAACCTCCCCCCAATTGCAAAAGGCCATAATTTTGCACAGATGAGATACAGGGAAGGCTGACAGGCGTTAGAAAGGGAACTGTGTACTGGATCAGACCTTGGAGAAGCAGAAAGAAGCCATGGCTGCTCTCTAAGCACTGACTCCCAGTGGGCCTGGTCTCTGCAAGCACCATTTCAGAGGCTCCCAGTGTGCACACAAGGGGCTCTTGTCTTTCTGTGTGCTGGTGCAGGGACAGTTCAGAAGTTCTTTGCTTTGGCTGCCTCTCCTGTGGTTGTAGGGAAGCCTTGGGAGAGCTGAGCAGTGAGGCTGCATTCACTCTCCAGCTTTCCAATGAAAATCAGGAGAAGAAGGGTCCCTGGCTAAGYCAGAAGAGCAGGGAGCATAGGCAATGCCATTCTCTATTACCATGTCTTTCCTCTGTTTCTTCAGGATCACAGAGTCTTGCCAATTTTACCATACAGGAGGATTTGACCTCGTTCTTTAGGTTGCAGGTGATGGTCATCATGGTTTTTATGGGTCCTCAGGYCCTTTTGAGAACCTGCAGCTCTCAGTCCTGGCTGGAATTTAATGTTGTTTCTCCTTTGAAGTGCCAGCTGCTAGAGCAAGGCCTGGTGTGCAGATGATGAATCACAAAACATTTGTTTTYCTGCCCAGTCATTGTGGCTGTTGCAAAGTTCCTTTTCACACAGTTGTTTTAGGGATGAAATGCAGCTGGAGCAGTCCCAGGTTATACCTGCACTTTCCTGATTTACTCCTTACTCAGCAGACACTGTCTGAACATGCACCTTCCTCTGGCCAGGAAAATATTGGGAGTAGCTACTCTTGCTTTATCTTTTTGTCTAGACTTGGGGCACTTTCCCCCCTTTTCCCACTCTACCTGGGGAATGTCCAGCTGCTCAGCTTGGTCCCTCCAGTGCCTGGATGTATGSGGCAGGGTCTGGCTGCTGGATCACTGCTTTTCTCTTTCTCCCCTCCAAAATACTGATTTCTGATTTCCTGGACATCTTGAAGCCAGCTCACTTGGTGAAATCTGTATTTGCACAGAGAGAGACAGCCTGGAGTCACAGAATCATGGGACCATGGATTGGTTTGGCTTGAAAGGGACTTAAATACCATCCAGTCCCACCCCCTGCCATGGACAGGGACAACTTTCATTATCCCAGGTTGCTCCAAGCCCCATCCAGCCTGGCCTTGGACTCTTTCAGGGATCCAGGGGCAGCCACAGCTCCTCCGCGCAGGGTTTGTGCTGGATGATAGATCCTGCTCCTTCCCATTAGAGATGATTGTCTTAAAATCCCCCAGGGTTCCTATTTCCAGAGCCCCCTTCAGGGGCTCTCCAAGCACTGCCAGCCCCCAGCCCCTGCACATGGACAGCTTTGCTGCWGTTTGCCCCTGCTGCCATCCAGCCCCTCCTGCAGTGCCCTTGCTAAACCGGCTTCCCTCGGTGAGTGCAGCTGCCAGCAGGGAGCACAGCCCGGCTCAAGCCTGGCTCCCAAACCTCATTCCAGCTTTGCACCACCCACACGGAGCTGATGGAGGGAGTCTCACCTCTGCTCTACATCACCGGCTGCTCGTGACTCCTTCACTGCTCTGCTCAACACGCTCCGGACTGGAAGGATGGAGCTTTTCCTGCTTCACTACCCCTTTACCTGTCTGTTCATCGCCTTTCTAGTCCTCTACCAGCTGAAACCTGCGTTCAGATTCTTCTGCAAGATGACCTTCTATAAGTTGTGGCTCTTCACCATAGGCATCGGGGTTACCATCCTCAGTATTCCTCGTGGACGTAACGTAGAGAACATGATGTGAGTTGTCTGTGGCTCCTTTCTGCTCTGAGCATTGACAGAGTCCGCTCTGCAAAGTGCTTTGATTTGGAGGGTCCTGGGTGYGTGCTGTGGTGGGGAGGGATCAGTTGTATATTGGAGTGGGGAGATGACAGACTCTGTAATTCAGAGAAATGTGGGTTTCAATACTCGTTTGGGGTTGATAAAAAGAATAACAAATTATGGAAGCAAAGGGTGTAAAAGGTGACATAGATTTACCAAAGCAGGTAATGCCAACAACCTGATGTAATGCATATTGCTATTTTTGTTAAAGGTCTTTTATCCAAAGGTTTTGGAGCTGTATTYCCCTTCTTCCCATGGCTGAGCATTCCCTTTCTAAGTTGTGTTCAGAAAGTCACTCCAGGTGCTCTTTGCATTCTCTGCTCTGAGACAGTGCCCACCTGAGACACCACCACAGTGCAGTGCTGGCACCTGCACAGGCACTTGTGTCCCCATCACCTCAGTGTCAGATCTGGCATTCCCCCAGCCCATCCCATTGCTGCCCAACCCATCTTTCCAGATTCAGACTCCCGAGGCTGTAGACTCACCTGGAGGCTGCGTGGGGTGTCCAGGATCAGTGGTGGTGGGAATCGGGARCCTGGGCTGAGCGGGAATGAGAAGCTGACTCTGCTACATGGCAWCACAGTGCTTGAAGCCTCCTGAAGTGCTGCAGGGACAGGATTTACTATTCCATTTTATGCTTCAGTGGGAATTCATACCTCCTAAGTGGGCATCAGCCTTTTGCTTTGAGAAATTCTCTTCACTTCTTGGCTTTGGTGCCTGAATTTTAAGGCACCTGGGGAATTTTAAGACAATTTTTATTAATTTTATTTATTTTACTTTACCAATTTCTCTTAAAATAGGGGTCCCAGCATTGCAGCTTTATGGCACTCACAGGCAAACCCCTCTCTTTCCACAGCCAGCAGAGTTAGGCACAGATTTATTGCAGCCTGTGCTCCCAACCCAGCAAGGTGGGCGGRGAAGCAGAGTACAAAGTTGTGCTGTGAATTTGGATATTGTCTAATATTTGGTTGATCCGTGGAATTTCTGGAGGTGCAGTTGCTGGGTCATTAGTCACGCATGGCTTGAGGGAAGCCTCAAGCAAGGTGTATTTTTCTTCTGTAATTAATTAATTAGCTGCAGAGGATACTGATTGTTCTCSTCCAAGTCACAGTCAAATCTGGATCGTGGGAAACAGGCAGAAGYAGTGTGTGGGATGGGCTGGTTTGGATGCAGTGTTTAGTCCCAAATTTCATCATCTCTTTGGCTAATTTCCACTCCTCTTTTCCAGGTATATTCGCACACTGGTCCTGCCACTCAAATACATCTTTGGCATTCAGATAGTGGTGAAGGGCAAGGAGAACCTCAGGACTAAGAAACCTTATGTCCTGGTGCTGAATCACCAGACCTCCCTTGACATCATGGGTATGTGGCGATGCTGCCTCCTGCTCCTGGCCCCGGGTGTTTGTAGGGATGGGTCAAACAGAGTCCCAGGTGCCAGGGCAGAGGGGTGGGAGTGGCTGCTCCAGAGTCCTTCACCAGCCAGCCCCRAGCCAGGGCTGATCTCCAGGGAATCAGAGGTATTTACAGGCTACATCAGCTTCACCCTTTCCCAGGGAATAGGGACAAAACTGTCGGCTGATCACGGCCCTCTCACAACTGCTCTCCTTCAGTGACAGTCCTGGGTGGATGGTCTGAAGAGCCCCAGAATTCCCAAGGGATCCTATGAAGCTTCAGGCATCTCATCTCTCACAGCAGGGGGCTATAGTCCAGAATCTAGAGGGACCCTGRGTGCAGATGACAACTTGTTGTGTCCTTGCTGTCCCCTGGCAGTGATGCTGGAGATATTGCCGAGGCGCTGCGTGCCCATCGCCAAGAAGGAGATTCTGTACATGGGCACCTTCGGCCTGGCCTGCTGGCTCGCGGGGGTCATCTTCATCGACCGCAAGAGGAGGGAGGAGTCCATCAGCACCCTGACAGAGGTGGCACAGTCCCTGCACAAGGACAACGTGAGTGGGGAGAGTCCTGTGAGGAGCCGCTGGAAAGCAGGAATCTGGATGTGGGTGGAAAGAGATCTTTGGTCTGGGCACTGGGCAGAACAGGGGGAGAGCATCAGTGTGTTGTGTGTCCATGGAGCGGCCAGGAGCACAGCCCTGGGGCACCATCCCTGTGCAGGGGTTTAGGATTGTGCCTCCAGGTCCTGCCACCTCAGTGTCTTCTCCCTCCCGCAGCTCCGTGTCTTGATCTTCCCTGAAGGAACTCGCAACCATGGTGACTCCATGCTGCCCTTCAAACGTGGGGCCTTCCTGCTGGCTGTGAAAGCCCAGGTGAGACCCACCTTCCTCCTGYCCCTGGACTCTGGTTTGCCTGCTGTGGTCCACCAGCAAACCAGGATCCTGGTCCCTGGCTTCCCTATGGATGGAGCACACATCCAGGAGCCCTCGGGGTCTGCAGGTTGTAACTTTTGTTACAGCTTGGGAAAAAGTGGGGGGACCTTGACAAGAGCCCTGGACCTGCACAGGGAAGTTTCTGCTAAGTTGGCCTCTGTAGATACTAATTTGACAGTCCACAATTGTTGGCCTAAATACAGAGTGAAAAATACAAAACTCAGTAGTGAGGACATGTTAATGTGATACAGTTAAATGATTTATCTAAATATCCAAATAACCCTGGGGGTGTGTGCTGTGACACTGATGGTGATAATTATCAGCAAGGTGCAGGATTCACCTGAAAATAYGAGTTGAATTTTGGGGGAAGGATGAGGAGGTGTGTATACTCACTGTAGACTGCCTCTCCTCCAGGTCCCCATTATTCCTGTCGTGCTGTCTTCCTACAGCAACTTCTACAACCAGAAGGAGAAGAGATTTACACCAGGTGAGGATGACCTGGGGCAGAGAATGGGCTGGGTGGTGGTGCCAGCTCAGTCCTTGGAGCCATGGAGGGGTGGGCAGAGGACCACACGTAATGTGGAGATGGCACCCAGAAAACAGCAGTTTCTGTCTTCTTGGGAGGAAATGGGACATTTCAGGCATCACTTTTTCCTCTCCCCTTGGATTTCTCACTGTTTGTCCAGTACCAATCCAAGAGAACTTGCAGAAGTAGCAGAGTCCTGGGGCAGGTCCTTCCCTTGACCCCCCATGGCGCCCTTGGATCTGCAGGTGCATGAATAGCTGGGAAACATTTAAGGCAGCAAACATTTCTACTCAACACTGATAAAATTTTATGGGCAAAAATGACACAAGTCTTGGGCTTCAGAAGGAAAATGCAGAAAAAAATGTTACAATTTCCAACTGAGAAAAGTAACCCATCCTGTTGCTTTGCTCCCTTTGCTGCCACCCACCTTAAAATGGGCTTTTGCCACTTCCCACACTTTCCCAGGCSAACCCTAAGGAGAGGATTTGCATCTGAAATGTTCATTCCTCCCATTGTTGTGCCCGGGTGTAGTCATTCCCTCGCAGCAGACACCTGGGAGAGAGAGTGGTGCAAATGATAAACACTGAATTGCCTGTTAGCAGCCATCTTTCACCTGCTGCATTTATCCTCTCCCTGTTCATGCACAAAAGTCTTTTGTATCTGTAAGTGTTGCCTCACCTGAGCGTCAATAGAGCCATGAGCAGGGATTTTTCCAGCCTACTCCCTCCTCTTCACATCCCTGCTCTGGGAAATCAGAGAGTAATGTCCTGGGGAGTGATCTCTGAAGAAGCTGAATCTTTTTCTTTAAGCCAGGCTAGTTCTGAAGACAGATGAGTTTGCTTTGCGACTGGTCCAGAAAAGTTTGTATCAACTCCAAGGATGGAGATTCCAGAAATTCCCTGAGCTTTTTAGGAGAGGCTTTTTGCAGTTTCATGTACATTTGCCTTTATACAACTTCAGTCGCCCTGGGAATCCATGGTTAACTAATTTCATGCTCAGCTGATCTCTGAGCCCTTTTTCAAATGGCTGTTAAATAGGCTCGACTTTCACTGCTGAAGAAAGAACCCCAGTTTGCTTTTCTTATACTTTGCCACTTTTCCTACCTGGAAGTTTTACCGGGGCTTGTTTTGTCTCCTTCCCTTGGCTCTGCCTCTGGCACTGCTGGATCTCGTTCCAGCCACATGTGTGAAGACATGCAAGAAAATTACAACACATCACAGGCACTCCCCTGATCCCCAGGTTCCCGTCTGTGCAGGCACTGTCTTGTCTCTGCTGGCCAAAACAGGGACTCTGGGTGCCAGAACAGAAGAGCATGATGGCAGCTCCCCAGTGTGTTCTTCCAGTTTACACCAGKCCATTGCTTAGGTGCTTTTCCAGAGAAATCTGGCATACCAGGGAATGCCAGGCATAATTTTCCTCTTCCCAAAGTGTGTTTGTGGAAGGAGGGACCCTGCTGAATTTGGTATACATAGACAGAGCATAGCCAGTTTGAATTTCTTGTATTAAACATCTTCTCTTTGCCGTGGTCTAGACAGAGCCTGAGATCTTTCCACTGTGAAAATTCATCCTATATGAAACATTGCATTGTGTTTGAGGAGAAATTCACCTGTTTCCATGTTTATGCTTCTTGTGATCTCTGTGGGTAGGAAAAGCCTGGGTTGGGTTTCTGCTGTGTGCATTTGGGATGTGGCTGTGCTCCCACACCACTGGGCATGGGAATGAGGGCATTTCCTTGGTTGGCATCAACCCTCCTGCTCTACCTTCTCCTGCTCTTCTATAACACTCACATATTTTTTTCCCTCTCTCTCACCCTCTTCCAGGAAAGATGATCATCCAGATCCTTCCAGAAGTGGAGACGCTCGGGCTGGGCCCTGATGATGTTCCCAAGCTGACGGCGCAGATCCGTGACTCCATGGTCTCCACCTACCAGGGGATATCGGGAATGGCCAACGGAGCTTCCCATTAGCAATTCCATCTGCCAGCTCCAGCTCTGTGCCACAGCTGAGGGGAGGCCATGGCAGCCACGGGAAGGTCTGGCAGCAGAGACAGCTGTGGACTGCAGCACTGACACACTGGAGACAGGCAAAACATCCACCAAGGAGAGAAGCTTCCAAGGGGAATGTTGCACATTCCTCCCAGAGAACTGTGCCACCCATGGGGACAGACACATGGTGGGCAGCTGGACATTTCTGTGTCATCACAACCCTGGGAACGTGTCTCCAGCTGGAGCCCAGGCTGAGCTGGGCCCTTCCTGTGATCATCGCTGCTTGCTTTTATTCATCTTTTGCTGTTCAGAGCCAACAAGGTGGAGGCCTTGATCCCAAGCCTGTGATCATCCTGCCAGGGAAGTGGCTGCCTTGGGGTTTGAGGGCTTCCACATTCCCCTAAAACACAGGAGAAGGCACTGTTTCCTTCCTCTTCCATGGGGAGGATTTGGGAGGTACCTCTGCCACAAGAGAAACTAAGAGCTTTGGGAGAGGGGAATTAAAGACCTTACGTGTGTCTGCAGGGCTTGGTGGTTTCTTTGTGATATTTAGCCACCCTTTTAAGCTGAGGAAGATTTTGCTTTCAGTGGTTGGGCAGATCTTGGAAGTGCGAGAGGGACATGACTGGGGACTCAGAAACCCGAGGCAAACAGCAGGAATAAGCTGCCTAACATCCTTGCCATGCCCAGACAGAATCACCATCCCTGGAAGTGTTCCAAAGATGTGCAGATCTGGTGCTTAGGGATGTGGTTTAGTAGTGGACCTGGCTGGGATGGGTTAATAGACTCAGTGATCTTGTAGAGCTTTTCCAGCCTTACTGGTTCTGCAATTCTATGATGATTCTATGATAACCTCACGATTTTTAACACAACCTGTATAACTTTCAACTCAAACACACTCTGGCAGCTGCAGCTCCTGATTTCTGAGTCTGGCCTGGTTCTGTGMTGCCTCCTCTGTCAGAGGATGCCCATCAGCTGTGATATGATTTGGTTTTTTGTGCTGGTATGTTTAGCTATGAAGCAGAGCCAAAGAATATTTTGGACACAGGTTTGACTTACACAAATTCACAGAATTATTTAGGTTGGAAAAGCCCTCCAGGGTCATTGAGTCCAACCTGTGACTGATCCTCGCCTTCTCAACCAAACCAGAGCTCTGGGTGCCACATCCAGTCCTTCCTTGGACATCTCCAGGGATGGGGACTCCACCATCTCCCTGAGCACCTTCCAGTGCCTGACCTCCCTTTCCACGGAGAAATTCCTGCTGGTGTCCCCCCCTGGCCCAGCCTGAGGCCGTTCCCTCTCCTCCTGTCCCTGTTCCCTGGGAGCAGAGCCCGACCCCCCCGGCTGCCCCCTCCTGTCAGGGAGTTGTGCAGAGCCACAAGAGCTCCCCCCGGAGCCTCCTTTGCTCCAGGCTGAGCCCCTTTCCCAGCTCCCTCAGCCRYTYCTGGGGCTCCAGACCCTTCCCAGCTCTGTTCCCTGCTCTGGACACGCTCCACCCCTCAATGTCTTTCTTGGAGTGAGAGACCCAAAACCAAACACAGGATTTGAGGTGGGGCCTCAGCAGTGCCAGCACAGGGGACGGTCACTGCCCTGGTCCTGCTGGTCACACTGTGGCTGGCACAGCACACCTGGGCTCTTGTTCAACCCCACCCCAGGCGTGTTTCTGCCCCAGCCTGTCATTGATGGCAGCTGTAGGTGAGTGCACAGGATGTTTTATTACTGCCCAGAACACCCAAAACACACAGCTTCACTGTGGGATTTAAATAAAACTTGTCTCAAGGCTTCAAGACGCAGCTGCCGTGCTCCAGTGTCTTCAAAGGCTGAAATCTCACTGCTGGTTAGAAGCAGCCTGGACGGCTTCTCTTGTGCAAAACCAGGAGATTGGGAAAATGTGAATGAAGGTTATATGAACATTCCAATTTCTGAGCAGGGACAAAGAATAAAGAGTTTGATTCTGCAATGCAAGCATGCCAGCCTGCAGGTTTGACACCCATTCAGGATGGGAAGTTAAAAATATTGTCATAATTACAGTTCTGGAGAGTCATAAATCCTCTGATCAATTTTTTAGGGTGAAAGAAAATAAAATATCATTGCCCTCCCATCTGAAGACTTACATTACTGGAAGCTTTTAGAAGTAAGTGATATAAAAAAATACATTGCAAAAGATAAACAGATGACATAGTCTTGATCTCCCCTCTGGAGCTCAAGATTTGGGTTCCCCCAACCACGTGCTGATGTTCTGTCACCAGCAGCCGGCAGAGCCTGATGTCCAGGCAGGAGTTTCCCAGGAGCAACTCAGTGCCACCGTTAGGGGTTTCCAACKCTGGTCTGATTAGTAGGATTAGAAACTGTCAATGAAGCAGAAAAGGTTGTTGAGAGGCAGAAAATCTTTCCTGGACACACCATTTTTCTCCATCTTTTTGTCATCCCTGTATCCTTGCACCTCTGAGACAACATGGTGCTTCCAGCCTTAGAATGAGTGGTTGGGGGGCAGCTTCTTGCCATTTGGAAAGGTTAAGCTTCTAGCATCTGCTTTTGGCCCTGGAATTTCACTCTTTCTGAGTTACACAAATACTTTGACTTCCTCCAAACCTAGTGAGAAAGGAGCCACAGGAAGCATCTCAACTCAGCTCACTTTAGTGTCCATAAGACCATGATTAAAAAAGAAATGAAAAAAACTCCATAGATTAAAGTTCAGCTAAACTCAGATCCTGAAGAATGGGATGAAGCCACCATAATTTAGCCTTTAAGTGCAGATATCTGTCTTAAACAACAGTGTTTCCCTCAAACAGTTACTCAAACTCAATAGAGGAACTGCATGGAAATGCTTTGTGGTCTGTGCCTTGCAGAAGGACAGTGTAGGTGATCCCCGGGTGCTGTGGTCATCTACAAATGGGTTGACAGAAGGAAAAAGGATCCATACCAGTCCATTCTGCAAGTCTCTGTTCTCCCACATTATTYCAGCTGGGAGAGCCCTTGTCAGAAGTGTTTCAATAGGACACTGAGTATCCATATCTCTCAAAAACACTGTTTTASTGGGGTACATCACAACCTTTGATCATGTGTGAGGCCATACGATGTCAAAACTGCTCCAGGTACACCTTAAACTCATATAAAGTTTTGGGGAAGGTGAGGGGAGAGCAGGAACTTGGAGCAGTTAGGCTAATTCTAGTTGAGTTTCGATGGACACCTGTCCTTGTGAGGAAAGACTATGGTTGTCCTGGAATAAGGTCTTTAGAGGATACATTCACAAGGYCCAGAATTGACTGGATTTTCAGGGATTTCCCATCTGCCTGAAAGGAAGAGGCAGGGAAAAAGGGATGATGAAAATGATGGATTGCTTTGAGACCCACCTAACAGCACCTTTGCCTCTGTGTGTGTGTCTGAGTGTGGCTGAATGGACAGTCGTTGTCTTTTGTGGGGCAGAGTCACTGTGGAAACCTTAATTCATTTTTTTTTAGGCATAGAAGAGACCTCATAGCACATTTATCATTTTTGACAGACCTCAGACCACTGGTACCTTTTCTGGCACTCTCAGGATCATCTTTCCAGGGTGAGAGGTCAAGCACGTCGATCTCTYGGCAATCAACGAAGTCCTCAGGGTAAGTGTTGATCTTGAACACATCTCTGGGTATCTTTTTGATATGAGTATTGTCACAGATCACCCTCGACACTGAGATTTTTCTCAGCGCTTGCAACTGCCRTGGAGTGAAAACTCCTGGATTCTCCCACCAGAATCTGCAATGATATTTTCAGAAGCAGTTTATAATCTCTGGTTACTCTCTGAGATGAGAACCTGACCAAGGTGAGTCTGTGCTTGGATGAACACCCCTTTGGAGAAGGTGTCTCTGGTRTGGCCATATCTGGATTCTGTCAGAGCAGAGAGCCTGCCTCTCCCACACAGCATCAGCAGGCTGCAGGCGTGCAGTGATTTATCCTCTCCTGAGAGCAACAGCACGTCAGGCAGAGACCACAGCAGATCCTCCATGGTCTGGAGCTGGTGCTCCTCAGCCACATAAACCTGGAGGAATGGGCTGCAAAAAAGAGTTCTTTGGCAACTGGACTAAAATCAAGGGGTGAGCCTTGCTGGGAACACTCACTGGAGWGCTGGAGATGGCTTGGATCAGTGTGTCACAGGAAATGTCAGCATTTCCCCCTAAAAAATGCCCCAGGGAATGTGTCTCTCACCTGTCCCCATCACGCAGGTTCCTGAACTGGGTGCCAATGATGCAGGACAGGAGGGGCCCAACTCTGCCCTGGGGCACCACGGGCTCTGCCACTGCCCCGATCCAGAGGTCGATATTGTAYGGTGTTCCATACACATCCATGAACTTCTTGGCCAGTTTGGGATTGCCAAGTACCTCTGATAATTCTTCTAAAGTTTGGGGTTGGGAGAGMCCACAGAAGCCCCTCCAGGCATTGTAACCTGCAAGAGCAGGAGAAGCAGATGACCACCATCCTCCATAACATCTTCACAGTTCTTGGCCCATGAACGCTGCCTGCTTATTCTCATGGCAATAAAGGACCTGGAAAGCGCTATTGTCCAGGCAGTCCAAAAAATGCCACATTTTTAAAGCTCCTTTTTATATGTACACACTAAACTAACAGTTTGGGTTGTCTTCATGACAACAGCTCATCCTGTTGGTTACATCTTTCTGCTGCTGAAGGTGAATGCATCAGTCCTTGCAGCTTTGAGAGGCAAAATTTCTAGGATCAAATTCTTAGAAAAGAGGAAATTTGGTTGTGTTTAACTCAACAGCACCAGCTGTCCAGCACCCAGGGCAGTCCCAGTGGGTGTAAGTCACTTCTGCAGAATTCCAGCTTGTCTGGGACACAAGACAAGATTGATGGGCAAAGAARAAAACCCAGAGGACCTGTCCAAACCTATGTGAAAGCTGAATTTGGTCACTTGCATCTGTATCTTYTGTACCAMACAYWCTCTCTCTTCRCAATACACCAGTATCTCTCACCCTYTTTCTTACATTATCCCAAATATCATCTTGGATTTCCAAGCCTTTTGTTCCTGTTATAAATGTCTCATAAAAAGATTTGTAAAATACAGAGACCTTTTATTCCCTGAGCTTGACTGTCTGTCCATCCTTGACCCTCAAATCAAGGTACTGTTTCTTCCCATTAGTATAGAAAAAACTTAGTTAATTATGGAATCAGCAGCGGAAGAAGAAAACGTCTTGTTCACAGGAGTGTGGACTTGTGTCTCCTTACCTGGAAGGCCRTGGTCTCTTCCCCGTTGCATGTTCATGGCTCCYAGATCCARACCCATCACCTCTGTCTGTTCAAAGAGGTGGTTCTGGAGCTCCTCAACRAGCAGCTGGTTCTGTTTCATGAGCTTTGCATGATCCACCACCATGCCCCGGATCAGTGGGTCGATGCCTCCTGCAGCCATCGCAAATCAAGGAAAGATATTTTTGTGCCAAGCTGCAGCTTTGAAKGTCCCTTCCATGCAGCTGAAACAGTCTGCTCTGGGCTGGGTGGGGTTTTCCATCTCATATTTTTATTTCAACAGTGTCTGTAGAATCACAGAATCCCAGAATAGTTTGGCTTGGAAGGGACCTTAAACCTCATTCCATTCCATCCTCTACCATGGACAGGGGCCCCTTCCACTGTCCCAGGTTGCTCCAAGCCCTGTCAAACCTGACCTTGGACACTKCCAGRGATCCAGGGGAAGCCACAGCTTCTCTGGGTACCYTGTGCCAGGGCCTCACCACCCTCACAGTGGTACCTGTATGAATCTGTACAGTTCTGCATGTGCCAGGAGATGAGGCCTCACACAATAACKGAATTCCTTATCCCTCCCCATCCCTCAGCCTGTTCTTCCACAGCCCTAAATGCACTTGCTCTCCACCAGTCCCTTTCCAAGTCTGCTCCTCAGCCTTCCAGTCTCCAGCATGTCCTGGTCCCTGGGGTCTGTTCAAGGTTTTAACTTTTGCAATGGATTTGATTTATAGTTCCCTTATATATTAATTGGCAGATATTTATTAGAACATTAAATGAAATGATGGGATTAATTAATGTCTGATTGTCCATGTCTTTTTCATAGCAATTAAGAAGACAATACGAGCAAAACACAGGAAAATTGGCTGCTCATGTGTAATTATATTCTTCACCATTAGATAAACAAYACATTTTGGAAGAGACATTTGTCTTCCTCCTGTCTGGAGATCTCAGCTGTGTAATAACARGACCTCACAACTCCAGTTTGAGCCAGGAAGAGGGATGGGCACCTCTAGGAAGGAACAATGCTGCTTTAGCTTAATTAAACTCCCTCCMTCCATCTCTCCTGATTACAGGGGGATATAAGACCTGTAGATTTTGGTGGAYTGACATCTGGCATGGGGAGTCTCCTGCCTCCTGGAGCAGCAGGAGCAGCTGCACRATCTGAATGGATGCAGAACACTCCCACCATCGGATCTTGGTGACCAAGGAATGACTGGASATGGTGCTCAGTGCTCTGGGCTGGGTGATAAGGTGGAGATCAGGCACAGGTTGGACTTGAYGCACTTGGAGATCTTTACCAGCCCACATAATTCTGGGATTCTGTAATTCCATGTGCCTGACCAGCTGACCTCCACCTCAGGACCAGACCAGGACCACTGCCCCATGTTCTTACCTTCCATTACAATCCTCCACGGAGCACAAAAAGTCAGATGCAGAGGGACATGGGAGAAGGACCCCAAAGGCTGAAAGCTCTCATTCAGCCGGGACACAAAAGGCTGCACGGATGTATGGCCGAATCGGAAAGCCAGGGAAAAAACGTTTGAGGCCCTGGGATCCACCCTGTCATTGTAACCTCTGTACAGRGGGATCCACTTGCTGGTCTCCTTGGCCAGCAGGAGGGGGATGTAATCTCTGTATGTTATGATCTGAAARAGCACAAGAGACAGCAAATTACCAGCAGCAGAAATTCCATCAAAGTGCAGAGCAGGAATGTGGACTCTCTGCAGCAGCATTCATTAAGATCATCCAAAAAAGGACCCATAGCAGTGGAATGAATTTGGCATAATAGATTAAATTCTTTTAAAATCTGAAATTATTTTATACAATAAATAATTTTTACATTAAATATAATAAATTATTTATAAATTGGTAACATGATKCATAAAATACTCTGGATATCCATGCTGTCTCAGATCTACCATCCTCATTCACAATTTCCAACTCCCACGAATACCTCCACTGATCTGGCAAACCATGGCTTTCCTAATTTTGCCTGGAGGAAAAAACATTCCTAAGTGTGTGAATGAGAAACAGTGAGCAGTGATCAGTACCTGGTTTATGGCAATGACAATCTTTCTACTCTCCTGGTACAGCTTTTCCCCATCCCAGTGAGGATTTAAATTCCTCAGCTCCATAGCCAGGCGATTGTGCTCTCGGACAAAGAGAGTGTGCATTGCAGACAGTCCCAGGTTTTCTGTCACCCGTTTGTCACCTAAAATGAAAATATTTTAGGAATTTTGTTCATTAGTTTCAATTTTAGAGGCAGGTTTCTGTATTAGGACAGACAAGTAACAAATGGTGACATTTCTGGCAATAATGCTGTGGCTGCCTCACCTCTGAAGTGTCCAAAGCCAAGTTGGACAGGGCTTGGAGCAACCTGGGATAGTGGAAGGTGACCCTGCCCACGGCAGGGGTGGAACAGGATGGTCTTTAAGGATCCTTCCAACCCAAATTATTCTGGGATTCTATGAAAACTGGAGGAGACCCAGTGAAGACCCTCTGTGAGATGATGGAAAAGCACTGAGCATCTCCTCACTCAGGAAGGAGCTCTTCTCAAGTGCAGAGAATAAGGAAATGGGAACACTTTATTCTTATGATTGATTTTTGCAAACTTCACGTTTATTATGTTTTTGGTTTTTTTTACTATGCCTATGATGCATAATATATTCCAATTTGAATAAGCTCTGTGTTTCTCCTCAGTTTCTTTAAATTTCAGGTAAACTTTAAGACTTTTCTTCTGATGTAGGGTGGGTTAGTTAATTAATCAATTAACTAAATTGCTTAAGTGTTTAATTGTTAGTATTGATTGGGCTGAAAACTGAATCATAAAATGGAAGGGACCTTAAAGCACATCTCATTTCAACCTCCCACTGTCCCAGGGTGCTCCAATCCCCTGCMAACCTGGCCTTGGACACTTCCAGGGCTGAGGCAGMCACAGTTTCTCTGGGTACCCTGTRCCAGGGCCCCAYCACCCTCACARGGAACAATTTCTTCTGTATGTCTAATCTAATGGGCTCTCTTTCACTGTGAAGCCATTCCCCCTTATCCTCCCACTCCAATTCCTGATGCAGGATCCCTCTCCAGCTTCCCTGGAGCYCCTTCAGACCCTGGAAGGTGCTGTGAGGTCTCCACACAACCTCCTCTTCTCCAGGCTGAACAGACCCAACTTTCYCAGCCTGTCAGTGCTGACAGGCTGACAATTCACACTCAATTCATGAATGGAGAATTCTAGGTAGGAAAAAAAAAAGTCCCTAAGAGGTTTCAAGCACTGGTGATAATTCTATTGAAAGTTTCTCCTGCCTTTGAAAATACTTTGTAAAGGGAGAAGAATTTGCTGTAATCCTGCTGGGAAATTAAAATTATTTTAGTTTAATAATAATTTTTTTCTTGATTATATTTTCTTTTCTAGTTGGGGGGAGCATGTCTGTCTGTCACCATACACACTCATGCCTTGAAGCGCCTCATTCAAATATCRCAGAATCACAGAATATTCCCTTTTGGAAGGGACYCACAAGGATCTTATAARGAGATATTTGACCCTTTTTGACTTTATGGCCCGCTGAAAACATTTTCCCAGCTGCACTTACCTGCTTTAAAGCAGGGGATGTTGGCGCTCCTGTTGGTGAGAACGCACACACTGTGCGTTGTGTTCTCGAAGGGCAGCAATCCCAGCCCCGCGTCCGTGAATCGCTGGTTGATGGCCATCAGCCCCAGCTGGCTGCTGAGATTCCTCAGGCTCCTGGCCAGCGAGTCGTCGCTGCCGTAGACGGTGCTGGCGTCGATGAAGGAGGTGGCGGCGTTGAGCTGCTCCCGGGTGAACGTGGCGGGGGTGCACACCGAGGCCGACTGGACGAACGGCATGCAGGTGTCAGAGCTCAGCATCCGCGGGTCGTCGGGGGGGAACTAAAGCAAACSAGTGAGGTGATGCCTCAGAGAGTCCCGTGGTTTTATTTTTGCTGCCATAASAGAGTGTGGGGTGGGTGAGAGTTAGCGTACCTTGATAGGGAAGCAGGGGGGCTTGAAGGCACAACTGGTGTGGCACTGGAGCTCCAGGCTGGCTCCTTCCCCACTGGCTGGGGCCAAGTCGATGTCGTGGTTGACCCACTGGCCCCAGTGCATGAAGACCAGCGAGAGCTGCCGGTCTGCAGTGATGTCCTCATTGGCTGTGTGAGCAATTTCGTTGGACACTTTTCGAACCTGCGGGAAACCAAAATGAAAATGTCTCACATGACTGTCTCTGCCATGGTGGATTTGCTCCTCTCTTGGACACCTACTGTGAGATCTTGGAATGAGAGAATCATGAAGATAAGAAAAGACCTCTGAGTTCATCAGCCTTCAACCGAGTAGCCCCATTCCCAATAAACCATAGTGAGGAGAAGTGCCACATCTACCTGTTCTTTGAACACCTCCACAGAGTGACTCTTCCACTGCCTGGAGGTTCTGCTCCAATGTTTAACCACTATTTCAGTGAAGACRTTTTTCCTAATATCCTGAACCTCCCCTAGCAYAATTTGAGGCCATTTCCTCTTGTCCTRTCACTTGTTCCCTTGGAGAAGAGGCCAACCCCCACCTACTCCTTTCAGGTAGTGATAGATCATGCACAAGATGRCCCTAGATAAGCTCCTAAGAGTTAATTATGGCATTAAACAGCTCCATGCCATTCCCCAGCTCTATCCAATCTGCTGTAAAAGTAGACTCCAGTAGTTCTTCAGCCAAAGCCGGCTTCATGGAAAGCCTGTTCTAGCTGAAATTTGCTTGTGCACATCCAGAGGAACTGCCAAGCCTTTGCACAAACCTCCTGGCGTCCTTGGACACACTGACAGCAACAATCCTTGGGACACTTCAGAAACTGCTTAGGGAAACATCCACAACTTTTTTGCTCACATCTGTCTCCAACACAAAAATAACTAATCCAAGCCATAACTCAGTTGTGGGAAAGCAGCCTCAATTCAGCTCCTGAGATCAAAGACAGAGCAATTGACACTCTAGATGTTGCCACTGCTTCCTTCTTGATGGGTGCAGCGAGGGCATCACGGCTGGGTCAGGATGACAGCACTCACCAGGGGGAGTGGGAATCCATTGTAGYGCTTTCCTTCACTTGCTCCTCTGGGAACAGACACTCCATCCTCGTACACGGCTGGCAGCCAGCGAGCAAAGGCACGGTTMGAGGAGCCCAGGTGGGAGCGATTTCTGCAGCATCACCAGAAAAACAGCTTCTGTTATTTTTTCAAACATCGATAGCCTCGTACAAACCAGCATTTTGCAGCCCTTTACTTTGTGTCTGCGCACTCTGGTAACAGGGTTGAGAGTGAGAAAACACCAACAAACAAATTATACCAAGGTTATTACTGCAAAGAAAAAATAACTTTTTTTTTAAAAAAAAGGTGCCCGGGCAGACAGACACTGCTGTCCTTGTGGGGCTGGAAACCCTGAAGTCCATGGGAACAGACTGACTGGAACAGCCCAACAAGTGTGAGCTCCCTGCACACTGATGCAGATCTGTGCTATGTCATCACATCTGTTTCATGCCAGGTGAACATTGAAGGCAAATCCCAGTCAGATTTGGGGGCTGGAGCTGCACAGTAGGACGGGGAGCCTTGACTGCCACTGTCAGAGTAGGAATTGGGTCATTTTATGCTCCCCAAAAAAAGCAAACAAGAAAATAAATGTTTGATCCCAGCTTTGAACCTAGAGGGAAACTGTGTGCAAAAAGCTGAAGAGCTAATTTTCTCAGATGAAGGACATAAAATACACAGAGTTGGAAGACCTAGGAATTAAAGATCTATTTCATTCCTATCTTTACTCATCACACAGATATATCAATAACAGAATGTTATCTGTATCAGCTGGGGAAATGAATATTATCCCTATGGAAGAGTGGAGGGGTGATTTCCTGTAGGCTCCAGCAAAATGAGAGGCTGAGTCRTAGCCCCAAAATTTCCTCAACTTCATACCTGCCCACACCCCAATAAGTCCTTTCCTTCATCCAAAGCAGTTCATAAAGGGCAGTGGACTCAAATCTGAGATTTTCAAGAAATTAGATCTTTTTAGTTCCAAGCAAAGGTGGAAATGAATCCTCTGTTACAGGCTCATTAAAATGAGCATTTCACTCTTCTTGCCCTGTCAAAAGGCACTTTCACAAATCATCTACCCTTAGTCAGAATGCAGGCTTGAGACTCTCCCTGTCCACACACAAATCCTACCTGTTGTTGCACTCCCCAGTAATGGTCCGGTAAAAGTCTCTCTCTGGGCATTTAACAGAACGAGTCTGGTAGTCACAGCCAGTGCCCTTGGAAATCATCTCCTTCTGTGTCCTGCTGAGGAGATCTGCAAGAGAAATCTCATAAAGTAACATCTGATCCTACTCTTCTTTTGCTGTTTTATCTTCTCAGTGTTCTGAGTCAGCATTTGAGACAGCTGAATCACAGCTGTGGATATAGAACATCTGGATTGGAATTGTTAATTTGGTGCCTTAATCCTTTTGTGGATCAGCTTTCCCCTCTGGCCTAGGGAAATTGGGTGGGCATGGAACAGCTTTCCAAGGAACGTGGCAACCATTAACGCCAGGAAGGTTTTACACCAGCTGGAAACAAAGCAATGAATTTGCAAAGTGGTACAACCCAGGTGTGAGTAGCAGAAGTGGAAGATGGAAGGTTTTCAGTGGTTTTTGTCCCACGTGTGTCCCAGGTATTGTTAGGCTGGTTTTATCAAGGATAGGARAGATGCACTCTCAAAGATGATGAATAAAACACCCAGGGGTCTGGTCTATCTCTGAGCATCMTTAAAATTTATTCCCCTGTTGGGGAAGGGTTTTATCCCTGGTTATTTAGGTCATGGCAGAGCTGCTCTCTGCCACCTGCTGTGGCACATTTACTGCTCTTAACCCTTTGTAAGACATTTTGGTCTAAACCACTTTACCTGTAACATTGAAACTCTGTTCCCCAGAGAGGTGAAGCCTCCTTTTGAGGATTTTCAAAGTAGTTTCCAAGTAATCAGCAGCTCGAACTGCAGATCTGGTTCTTCCTACAGGATCCTTTAGGTGCTTCAGGAAATCCATSGGGTTGACAATCTTTTCCTCCAGTTTTCTCTTTAAGCTGAACATAGAAGAGCTCCATGAAGAACCTTCTCTGAAATCAGAGCTCCTCTGTCAYGCTGGGCTGGGTGTAATTAGCTCTGAAACACTGCAGGGTCACAGGCAGGCCCTGCCCAGTAGGACCAGCTGTCTGCACATCAGCACGTCAGCTCAGGTGGTTTTGGCAAACAAATCACTGTAATCCCCTACTTCAAGCCTGGAGTACTTCCTTGTCACAATAAATTTTGTTCTATCATGTGGAAACCCAGATCTATGAACTGTGACAGGATAAAATTTTACTTGTATTATGTTGCAAGGTGTATCYTGTGAACAGAGGGACAATCTCACTCCTGTTCCATCTCTCTCTGATCCCATAACTCTGTCTTGCTAATTTTGTAGGATGGGTGGAGAGAGACTCCATCCCAAATCATCCCACTGCCTGGAACTAGCCTTTTGGGACAATYACAGAAGATTCCTGGGTTCTGACTCCACTGGCACTTGTTTGGGACAGGGTGTCCAACTGCACAACTCCAGTTCATCCAGAGAGGGGCAGAACTCTGCCGGCCAGGAGAGGATTCACATGTGTCCAGCATGTCTGAACCACTGTGGACCAGTGAGAAGTGTCCACAACAGTGTAGGTGAGGAACAACACTCGGGGTCAGGGTTGGTGGCTCCAGGACCAGGATCCAGCCAAACTGGGCAAAAGGATCCCTGCAGCTATGACAGAGAGCCCTGGCACTAAGGTTTCTCCATAATAAATATGCATTGGAAAACAGAGAAAATACATATATATTTAATCTTATTGATTTAAAATATCGGGGGCCCTCAGACAGGAAGAACTCACCTTTTTCTGGCCCGTAAATATGCTGTGTCTACCAACTGCTTGGCCTCGGTAATGATGTTCCGGAGAKATGAATCTGACAGCACCACTGAGGTCTCTGCTTAAAAATATAAAATAAGAAAAAACAGAAATTGAGGATTCTTAATTATAATGTACACCAGGAGCTTTGTCCTCTGCTAAACCATGTCCCCAGCTGCCACAACCACAGGTTTTTTGAACACTTCTAGGGATGGTGACTCCACCACTGCCCTGGGAAGCCTGTTCCAATGCTTCCCAATCCTTTCCATGAAGGAATTTTCCCCAATATCCAATCAAAACCTCTGGCACAATTTGAGGCCACTTCCTCTCCTCCTGTCCCTTGTACCCTGGGAGCAGCTTGACCCTCACCTGGCTGTCCCCTCCTGTCAGGGAGTTGTGCAGAGCCAGAAGGTSCCCCCTGAGCCTCCTTTTCTCCAGGCCAAGCCCTCCCAGTTCCCTCAGCCTCATCTGGTACTCCAGACACTCCCCAGCGATAATTCCCTGTGAGAAGTGCATGGAAGAAGCCAAAGATACAATCTCTGCCCCAGATTCCCTGCCATAAAAGGATGATTTATGCGTGAAAAAGCTGTTGATTAAATAGGGAGTTTCCTTAGGCAAATTTCTCACTTTTCAACTTYATTGTTAGTGGATCAATCTACAGGATATTTCAATTCTTTATTGGAGCTGTGTCTAAGTAGACTGGATTTCTGTTCACACCATTTCCAGCACAGYAGCAGCCAAAAGACAAGCAGGAACTTACCATTCCCTGAGGAGCCCATTGCTCCGACTGCACAGAGAGTGATGATGGATCCCAGGAGAGCCATCCTTGGGTTTGTGCCTAGAGGGAAATGCAGCATAAACCCCCGATGGGCAGGGCTTCACTGAAGGGTCAGAACAGACTGACACATTTGTTTTCCATATGTCTTTCAGGACCCAGGAATAAAATCAAACTGCCCTCTGTCTGGATTTGTTGGAGGGACTCGGGCTTGGGCTGCAGCTGTGGGTGTTTGCAGGACACAGGGACATCTCTGAGGGGTGGGACCTTCARCAAACTGGGCTGGGCACTGCCAAGGAACAGGCAGACAAGTACAGTGCAGCCTCWGTGATGGAAAATATTTGGAAGGTGAGTTGGAAGCGGGAGGTGTTCCATTGTCCTGACTTTGGGAATGTCCACAAGCAGCTGGTGGAAAGGAGCCTGGTCCCACACATCCCTCTCTGCCTCCTCTGTCTTGATGCAGAACAAAATGAGCTGCCACATCCATCAATAATCCTTGAACCTAACCCTAACCCTTGCCAGTCCTCCTGTTGCTCCCTGAAATTAATTTTTATTCCTGTTTCACATTAACAGCAGAAATGGATGTGATCTGTTCCACCAGTGTCTCCCATGTGGCACAGCACCTTCCCTGAACAGAAAGTTTTAGCCCAAAGACTGCTGCTAGATCTATTTTAAGTAATTTAGTCAACATTTTAACTATTTAGAACAAGACAGAGACCAAATATGGAAGAACTAGCAGATTTTTCACAGTGGGAGAGGTTATCTTACATTTACAATCCAYAGAAATTCTTGGACCATCTTCCTGGGGAGTGAAAGCAGATTATACCTTGCAATGTTATGTTGCACGATATTTCTGCATGAGGCAGAAATGCTGTCTTTTGTCACTTCTCACAATAAATTAAATACACATCAGGGGAGGAATAAAGGACAACCAACATTCCCAACATTCCACCCTGCCTCCCATCTCCTGGGGCTCATCCATGGAATGCACCAATATCCATGCCAGATATATCAAATACAGGTATAAAATGAGAATGCACTGATCTTACCTGCCATCTCTGCAGCACTGGCAAGGCTGGGAAAAAGCCGGTCCTTTATATACCTGCACCAGGGCAGAAATTAGCCGGGTCTAAGGCAGGTGTGGCCAAAAAGCGGGACCAGATTGAGCCAAGAGGAAATACCTGCTGGTTTGCTTTCCTGGAATAATCTAGAAAGTGCACACTTCTTCATTCCTTCTGACTTCCTTCTTGAAAAATCAGTAAAAGAAGAATGAAAACGCACATTGCTTTCCTGCAAGTGAAAGAGATACGCTTAACTTTATGATGGTAAAAGATGATGGTGGAATTTGGCTGCTTCTTCCTTGTCAGTTGATATTTCTGTGAGCTTCTGGTTTGGGAAGCCAGAAATGGATCATTTTGCCAACATGCATTTATGGAGCATCCCGAGCTCCACATACAGCATGTGTGAATGGTGGGCCTGCCACTATTTGCATCGATGAAAACCAAAGTTGTGTCCCATCAGGGATTTGGAAATCCTTGTAAGATAACTGCTGGTTATTGGGGATGACAGATTGGACAAGGAACAAGGCAGTTGCACAGAGCAGGATCAAGCTGTCTCCAGCAAAATCACATGGACAGAAATACGGACAATCCCAAAATCAAATCTGTGCCAATGCTCAGAAAGAAACAAAGTCTTGGGCCAGGTGATATAATTCACTTCAATGTGAATTATGACTGATGGTTAGGAGGGAATTCCTCCCTKTGAGGGTGGGGASGCCCTGGCACAGGGTGCCCAGAGMAGCTGTGGCTGCCCCTGGATCCCTGGCAGTGCCCAAGGCCAGGCTGGACATTGGGGCTGGGAGCAGCCTGGGACAGTGGGAGGKGTCCCTGCCATGGTAGGGGKGGCACTGAGTGAGATTYGTGGTCCCTTCCAACCCAATTCTATAATTCCATGATGTGCAGGAGGAAAAAAGATTGTTCTTTAGTGGACTAAGAGGAAGGTAGTAGAAATAATCCTTTGAACATTGGTGAGGCTGAAGACAATGCTGAATTTTCTTGGCATCAATCAGCCTTGTAAACCTCCCAGGATTAGGGAGCCAATCCTTCCCACTGTTTAAATATTTTCACAGCTCTTATTAACCCAAAATAAATAAAAGAAAAGCATATATGATAAAGGAAACTGCTACCAAAACTGTGTCATTTTAGATCTGGGGGAAAAAAAAAAAAAGTGTGATGGCCAGGTTTTCAGAAACTGAAAATGCAAAGTCAATATTTCTCCCCTAAAAAGAAGTTGAAGCCAAAGCAGTGGCCCCTGGCACCAGAGGGACTCTGATCATCCTGCCAGGTGTTCCACCTTATCTCTCCAACTTTCCCTGCAAAATGTGCGTAGGTAGAAATCCAGATACCTGCTGGGTGGCTTTGCTACTTCTTTTGTGTTTGTGGCATTAGTGAATGGAAACTTCCCTGTCTGACCATCCAGAAGCCACCGTGGCAGTCCCAGTGGCCCCACCTGAGCTGGGACTGAGGCCCCTTCCCAGCAGAGGGTAACAGGGACCTGTCTGCAGCCAGGGGAGKGACGCTCAGAGATGTGGCAGGAGCTGATGATTCCAGACCTTCCCACGCTTGGACTGGAGGGGTAAAAAAGGCCAAGATTTCCTTTGTTTGGATGCCTGCTCAGGGGCACCAACTCGAGCTGTTATTAAAATAATAATAGATTAAATTRKTTTGAACATCCAGACCTCYGTGACTCTGCTGTGGGAAGCMTGGGGTTGAGCTGGTGAGGAAACCTGAAGTCTGACTGGGGAAGTGTGAGGGGTGTGGGGAGTCAAGCGAGGTCACTGGCACCAYTGCTGGGAARGGACCTCAGTCCCAGCTCAGGTGATGCTAGTGGAGTTTCCAGGGTGATTCCCATGTCACCTCCAACTGGGATTTCTGGTGTTTCAGTGCACCCCTTGGAGTTTCCAGAGAAACCAGGGTATCCTGCTCACCAAGGCTGATGTACAGTCAGCAAAGTGCCAAGACATCCAGGCAACCAGGGCAATAATTATCTATTGGTTATCTGACCACGCAGCAGACATCTCCTATCTTGAGAAGATGCAGATTTCTTCTCTYTCAGGCTCTTGATATTGCTAACATTACTTCTTGGTCCTGTTCAAGCTGCAGATCATCACCTGTAAATCCCAGTATAAACCCAGAGCTATCTAAACCACTGTGGTGTTTGCTAAGCACTAGCAGCAGGAACTAGGTCATTAAATTCCAGCAACACAAACAAAAGAAAAAGTTCATTACTGCATTTCTATTTCCTATTTCCAATACCTCTGGTATTCCTGCAAGCTTTTTCAGCTTTGTTTTCATAGAAATCACAGCATCCCAGAATCCCAGAAACACAGAATCACATAATCCCYRACTGGTTTGGGTTGGAAAGCACCTTAAAGGCCATYTCATCCCACCCCATCCCATGGGCAGGTACACTTTCCACTAGATCAGATTGCTCTAGCCCCATTTAACTTGGCCTTGGATGACASAGATACATTTAAATCCCAGGTGTGAACCACGATGTCTCAAGTTTAATAGTSATTAAGGACTTAATTTAGGTACAACTTCAAACATACAAAGTTTCCTCTTCATCTACCAGTGGTGTWTTTTTGTTATATTTCAAACTGTGGATTTACTTATAAACTGAGAGCCAACAGCCTGTATGAGCCAGGCTGTCCTTGTCTACGGCACAAATTTACAGAACTGTATCCAGTGCATCTTCTGCTCCAATAGATGAAGGGCAGAGCTGATAAAGGGATGGAGTGAGCAGGATGAAACAGATAAAAGTGAGAAGTGATAGACTGCAGCACAGAAACTCTAGGGCAAGTAGAGGAGGAAAAATTCCCAGCAGCTCTGGGGTGACATTTAATAAAATCAGATTATCCAGCTTTAAAAATAGAAAGACTGCAGCACTAAAAGAGAACTTTAACCCTTTATGGATAAGGGGAGTGACAGCAACAGCAAGGAATGCTCAGGAGGGGGCATCACAGCATCACTGAGGTGTTCTGGGGTGTCTCCAGCCCTGTGGACATCCAGGAGTGRCATTATCACCTCTTTTGGAAGCTCTCCTTTAAAGATTACACCCAAGGCTATGAAGCCTCCTGTCTGCATCTCCCCACCTGGCATGGAGATACTTCTCAGCCACAGGAGGTGCTCCAGGTGARCCCAAGAGCCTGGGGAGATACCAGCGAGGTCAGGCTTCATGGTGGCTCCTTCCACAYCCCCTGTGAGCAGCCTGCACAGTGTCCAGGGCTGGAAAGCCATGGAAAGGCATCTGTGACTTTCTGCACATCCATCCATGGAAAACGCTCATCTTGCAAGGCCCAAATGGGACTCCAGGTAAAACACTTCTTCCCTAAGAACAACAATCCTGCCTTCCCAAGGACCAAACCCCCAGAATAAAACCTTCAGCYCCTTCTCATGAGCCAAACTGCTGCCTGCCCCATCCTTTAGCAAATCTTTCTTCCATCCTTGCCATCACCTCTGTTCCAGACTGCAAAGCCATGCTCAGGTTGGAAAAGTGGGAGATGGCTTCTCTGGAGAGGGGGCTCACAGGACTAGAAGAGACCACACAGGAGGAGGATTTCTCCAATTTCCATGTATCTTCCTTCTCTGGAATCAGCTCCTATCTTATCTGGAAAATGGGACACAGCAGAAGCAGTTGTCAGGCCCCTGGAAAGCCACTAGGAGGATATATGGGTGCAAACACTCCAGAGATTTATTTGAGCAAAGAGAGAGTGGAAGAAGCTTTAGTCCCCAGTACACTTTTCACTGCCCCACAGCTGGGAGATATGGGAGYCATCCACTGCCATGAACACTTTTTCCTGGACTGCAGACTAAATTCTAAAGAGGCTGAATATGTGAATGGAAGCAGAAAATGATCACAGATTTTGTGGCTTGATTCAATGCTTAACCCTGGGAAGGAATGCCTCTATGGACAGAGCTTGCAGATGTTCCCTGGTATTCCAAGGCTCTGCTGGATCATTCTATGCCATCACATTGCAACCAGTGAAGTGATGTTTTATGGTATTTTTAACATTGCATCAAGTGAAGGGAGGGAACAGTGAATCAAGCAACCACTGAATCATTTAGCCTGGAAAAAYCCTTTTAAGGAGTTTTTAGACCATTGAATCCAACCATTCCCACAGCACTGCCCCATGGCCACGCCTAACCCATGTCCCCAGGTGCCACATCTACATGCTTTTTGAGAGCTTCCAAGGATGGTGACTCTACCACTGCCCTGGACAACTTGTTCTATAGAGTGCCTGACCACCCTTTCAGTGAAGGAATTTTTCCTAATATCCAGCCTAAACCTCCCCTGGCAAYTCTTGAGGCCATTCCCTCAACTCAGGAGTGGTGAGTGATGTGTGCTGGGTCCAGCAAAGCTGGCGTTCAGTCGGGACTGTTATTGCTTTCTGGAACTTGGAAAATCAAAGGGTGAAAACTGGAGTCTGAACATTTCCTTGAGGAAGAAGCTCTGCCCCATGGCAGACACACCTTGTGGTTTTCTCTACTGCGTAATACTGCAAAGTGCCATTTGTTACAAGACAAGAGCTGTCAGCTCTCTGTTGAACTCAGGTTTTTCTGTAAGCACATCATGTTCTTTTTATCAGGCAAGATTGTTTTGTCTGTAAATATCACAAGAATTGTAGATGAAAATAGGTGTTCACTGCCAAYACAAGATTAGATAAGGAAAAAAATCAACAAGATGAAAGATTCAGAGAAATATTGGGGCAATTCTGACCAGTGCCATGAAAGTGTGAGTTCAGCCAGGCTGCAGAAACAGTTAAGGGGTAATGGTGTTTTGCAATCTCCTCTGGACCCTTCTGTTGGTGTTTTCCAGACCACATTTTTCACCCTCCTAACCCCATCAGACCTCCCTTTTCAGGTCTGGTCTCCTCCAGCCTCCTTTGTTACAGTGCCACTGCTTTCCAGGTCCCACTGTTCCCACTCTGGTTCTCTCCAGATCCTTCCATTGGGGTCTGGACCCTCCCATCCTTTCGATGTCATGGTAGACCACTCCAGACTCCATTYTGGTTTCTGGTAATGTGCAGGCTCCTGCTGATAAATCCCCATGGAAGAGGCATGGAGTGCCAGTGACATAGGGGAGCACATGCACAGTTCTTGAACACAACTCCAGGAACACAGGGTAGGCTTTGGATGCCCTAGGATGAGGCCCCAAAGCCAGCTCCCATACAAACCAAGGACAGTGCTTCTAGGACTGCCCTCCAAAATGGATTTATGCTTCAAAGGATAGGTCAAGTCATGACCGGACCTTGCTCAGCAAGGATTTCCTCTCAACAGCCACGTTATCCTCCTTTCTCCAAATCCCCAAAAGCCCAAATGCAGGCAGCAGCCCGGTGAGAAGCACACAAGCCTGGAACATCTCCCAGTGGCAGGACATAACCTGCTGGGTCCATGCCTCAGGCTGCCTCCGAGAGTCATCTCTGGACATGCTGTCACAGAGGCAAAAATAGGGATCCTGTGGGAAGAGGGCACAGAGAAGGCTGGGATGTTCCCAGGCTAGAAAAGGAGACTGGGGACAATCATCCTGGGACAAGTTTCCTGTTGCATACAAAGAGATGAGACRGGACACAGACCTGCCACCACGTCCATTGCCCATGCCATCTGTGCTGACATTGAGGCCAGTGCCCAGTTCCATTCCCAGCACKGCTGGGATGCTCCGTGCAGGGCAGGTGGCAGCAGGAACAGCAGTCCCCGAGCTGGGTGTGCAGCAGGGGCAGCAGAATCCACGGCCAGGGTGGGACCGGGTCCTGCTGTGTCCCCGGGCAGGGTGACAGCCAGGGGCTCCTGCAGACCCGCTCTGCACAAGCTGCTGTGATGGCCGAGTGGTGAAGGCGTTGGACTTGAAATCCAATAGGGTTTCCCTGCGCAGGTTCAAATCCTGCTCACAGCGCGAGTTTTACTGTCAGGCCGTGTCCTCCTGGCCCCGAGAGGGACAGACAGACACAGAGTGGTGTCCCCCACAAAGGACACCCTGACCCTGTCCTCCAGGGACTCTTTAGCTTTAGGAGATGGTCAGAAGAGTGTTCAGGGGAGCAGCCCTGCACCTCTTCTTATGACAGGAAGAAATCCTGCAGTAGCATGTCCCCCTGCCCCACAGAGCCATGTGACCCTGTTCCCTATGGATGTGACACCCGTTTCCCTACAGCTGTGTCACACTGCTCCCTGTATATGTGTCACCCTGCTTTCTACCTCCTGTCATCATACTCCCTACAGATGCATCACACTGCTCCCTAGAATTGTGTCACCCTGCTTTCTAACAATGTGTCACCCAGACCCCTGCAGCT